GAGAGAGAGAGAGAGAGAGAGAGAGGTATAAAAATTGATCATAAAATACAATTTAAATACAAAAATGCTTTATTATTTTACAAAACAAAAAACAAAACAACACGATATAAATCACATGCGGTTCTCATCACTAAAGACGTGTTAAATAGGCATAATAGTGTTATGCATCACTGGAAGATAACTAAAGAAAATCAGAGCTAATAATTTTATATCTATGTTTTAATAATTGTTGCAAAAAATATTAAAATTAAATAACTATAAAATGTAATTTAAAAACGCACCTTATAATATACGTAAAACTTAATAATTTTCAGTTAATTTGATTATAGTTAGCAATCAAAATATTATAATATTATTACAAAATATGATGCTTATTTTCATTGTTTTTCGCCTAAATAACAATTTAAAGTATAAGATAAATGTGCTTTACCTCTATACTAATTATTCCATTCTAAAATTTATCAATTTAAATGTGATTTTAATCTTTTTAACAAATATATTTAAAACTAAAACAAAATTTAGTTTATCTGTACAAAATTCATAGTTCGCATAAGTTTATTATATTTTTCTAAATTTAAATTGACAGTAATTTAAATTCAATATTTTTGAAACAATTATTAAAACATAGATATAAAATTATTAGCTCTGATTTTCTTTAGTTATCTTCCAGTGATGCATAACACTATTATGCCTATTTAACACGTCTTTACTCATCACAACTTCATATCACTCTTTCCGCCACTCTTTGCCACTAAACGGATCTCTCGGATAACAATCCCGGAGTTAACCGCTTTGCACATGTCATACACGGTTAGGGCTGCCGTCGACACCGCCACCAGAGCCTCCATCTCAACACCTGTAGCCCATGTAGTCTTAGCGGTGGCCGTAATCAACACCTCCTCTGCCTCCCTGTCCACCACTGTATCGATGGACACGTTATTGAGATTTATCTGATGACACAATGGTATCAATTGAGCCGTACTCTTGGCGGCCATAATGCCGGCAATTTTGGCCACACTTAACACTTGTCCCTTCTCTATGGCATTGGCGGCTATGAGATCGCATACCCGGCCGCCTACCCATACCCGGCCAACGGCTGTGGCCTGACGTGCGGTCAGTCGTTTGCCGCCGATGTCCACCATCTGAGGCTCGCCTGTGCTATGGTTTATATGACTGAGCGACTGATTGCCACCGTCTGTACCGGTGCTGTATTGGCGCACCTGATGTTGTTGTTGTTGTTGTTGGCGCTGATAGTGATGGGGCTGTCGGTGCCATTGATGTGCCGCTGTTTGTGAAATTGATTTTTATCATGAGTTGTTTGTTTGTGTCTGTAGTTTATGAGTATTGAAAATGTGCGGCCAATTCACCCACCGATCCGTATCATTGGTCTGTTGGGAGTGTTGGCTATGTTTTGAGCGCCTGTAGGTTTTGGCCATATATTAATAAATATAAGGTA